GGTGTGTGGGTATTGCAAGCCAACTTAACATTTATTAAAGGAGCAATGTCGATCCTGTATTTCAAAAATATATATAAGATATCTTATATAGCATATGAGATATCTTATATACTATATAAGATATCTTATATCGTATATAAGATATCTCATATAGTATATGAGATATCTTATATATTATATAAGATATCTCATATACTATATGAGATATATAGAAATTAAATGAAATGCTATATAAGATATCTTATATGATATATAAGATATCTTATATCGTATATAAGATATCTCATTTAATTTTCTATATAAGATATCTTATATAATATATAAGATATTTCATAAAGCTATATAATATGTCTTATATAATTAAAGTCTCGTTACTAAATAAGATATCTTATATAGGAATGAGATTTTAACAAAATGTCGAAAATGAAGTCTCCCCGTCCGGAATATCTCGAGGATCTACGTAGGGACAGTAGGCTTGTTGTAACAACACGTGTTCCTGTCGCCGCCATTATGTCTGAGCGCACTTCAAGAGTGCGGGAAATGGCATTGTTCAATACCATCGAATAGCGTATCCCTCTCCGTATCTGTACCATCCCTCTCCGCCATTGCGCCCAATGCAATCCTGAATGTGCTCCGAATGATTCCCGAGGGAGAAATTAGTTTCTGGTTTTTAATGCTTCTATATCAGATATCTTATATATCAACGAGATTTCAATTATATAAGATATCTTATATAATATACGAGATATATTATATGAGATATCTTATATAGAAAATTAAAGGAGATATCTTATATGCGATATAAGATATCTTATATAGTATATATGATATCTTGTATAGAGAATAATACATGCCTTTTTCCATATCACACCCAGTATTTTCAGTTCACGACACCTTCTCGAGCACTCACTTACCTCCTTGCCCAGTCTGGCATTACATAATGCCTATTGATGTTTCTCTCTATCGTGTTCGAATTGGTGTCTCCAGCAACTATATACAGTCCGCAAATTTCGCTCATTACGTGACCGTTCCCGACATGTTATGTATGGCATTACTCTTACTTTTGTTATATGTTTTTACGTCTTATTTACATAATATTAGTACATCACTCAGAGAGTCGTTCCGTAGCATTTCATGTTACCACTTCGCATCCTTTTTAGCAGAATTACCTACTTTTATATCTATACATTATGCATTGATCAGCTGGCGTTTGTCAGGTGACATTGAGTTAAATTCACAGCCCTTTTCTACTTCTGTCATTCAATCAATTGCTTCTACTTCCTCTTCAAGTATCCAGTTCTGTAACGATAGGTATTCTTTCGTCCATCTTAGCGTCAAAAGTTTCAAATACAAACCTGATATTCATTACATGAGTGCTAAATTCATCTCCTCTTCTATCATGTCCGCTGCTGATAAATTATCTATATCTCTACGTTGTGAACTGAATCCTGGTCCCATGTCTTCTAGCTCATCTTCCTCATCTATATTTTCGAATATTAGTGGCCAGCTCGATGCGGTTAGTAATTTTTCATTTGTCCATCTTAATGTTCAAAGTCTCAAACAAAAACTCGATATTCTTTACACCGAGTTAAGTAATATAACAATTTTATCCTTCACTGAGACATGGTAAAATTTAAATAATATCTCATCTGACCTTAACCTGCCTGGATATTCTGACCCATTCTGCTACTGTAGATCTGATCGAATGGGCGGTGGTATATCGGTTTATGTAAAATATAATATTCCTGCAAAAAGAAGATCAGATATAGAGATAGCTGCCATTGAATGTGTCTGGTTAGAAATTGTACTTGGTTCAGAGAAAATATTATATGGTACTTTTTATCGGCCTCCAAACTTTCCTGTCATCATATGGTCCCATATCTCGCATTCTATAGAAAAAGCGTATAATACAGGCATTTCTCATATTGTGATAACCGGCGACTTCAATGCAAATGCCCTAGTAGACCACCATTCTTCCCACTTACGCGATATACTTGCTTCCTTTAATCTAACTCAGCTTGTTGAATCTCCAACTTTTTTATACAGAAGCCTCGGAGTCATTGTTAGATATAGTCTGTACTAGTAGTAATAACCTTATTAATAAATGTTATGTTGGAGAAAGCTTCCTTGACCAACCGGTTAGATACCATTGTCCAATTTACTTTTTTTTTTTTTAATATTTCAAAGCCAGTCCAGCAGGTGTTGAAGCGAAACGTTTGGCTTTTTGACCTAGGAAATTAAGATTTATTTAGGGAAAAACTTAGCTCAGTTAACTGGAATTTATTGAGTGATTTTGATAATATTAATGATGCTGTCAAACTTTTCTTAGATATTTTACTTACTATTGCTAAATCTTGTATTCCGAATAAAAAAATAACCATCAGATTTAATGAAACCCCTTGGCTATCAAACGAAATAAGGAGATTAATTCGTAAACGTAAGCGCGCTCATACAAAAGCCAAGCGTACCCTTACTGAAGCTCACTGGGCAAAGTTTCGTCGACTTCGTAACAAATGTGTTAACACAATCAAGCACGCCAAATTAACATATTTTTCTAATTTATGTAGCGAACTTCGCAAACCTTCTAACATTAGTGCTTAACAATGGTGGAAAACTGAAAAGCAACTATTATCTAACTCTGGTAAATTTTGAATACCACCATTGCTTCTTAATAATAGCACTGTCTCAGATGACTTTGAGAAAGCTTGCTTATTAAATGACTTCTTTTGTGCCCAGTCTACAGTTGATGACTCCAATGTAAATCTCCCTAACATTAACGACGAATGTAATAATTCCTTATCTGATATTAACGTCACAGCTAATGATGTCAGAGATGTTATTCTTACCACTGACTGTTCTAAAGCCATTGGTCCTGACCAATCAGTAAATATCATATGTGTCCCCTTAAGAAATCTCTTTAACAGGTCAATTAGATCTGGGTTATTCCCATCTGAATGGAAGTTTGCTAACGTCACCCCTGTGCATAAAAAAAGATAACAAGTCTATATTAACTAATTACAGACCTATATCACTGCTATCGATCGTTGGTAAATTAATGGAAAAATGTGTCTTTAAATATGTCTTCAATTTTTTGCACACTCACTCCCTCCTATCCCCCTATCAATCTGGGTTTAGGCACGGTGACTCACCATCAAATCAACTTCTTTCGATCATTCATGATATATATTTAGCCTTAGACAATGGTAAGGAAATACGTATGGTCTTTTGTGATATTAGTTAAGCTTTCGATCGTGTTTGGCATAAAGGCCTTCTTTGTAAATTATCCAGCTATGGGATTCGAAATTCGCTATTAGTTTGTTTTGAAAATTATCTTTCCGATCGAAAGCAGAGAGTTGTCATCAATGGTAAAAATTCAAATTGGTTAAATGTTAAGGCTGGTGTTCCACAGGGCCCAATTCTTGGGCTTCTTTTATTTCTGATATACAAGCTAAAATAAAGTTATTCGCTGATGACACCTCTCTTTACGTAACCGTTGATATTCCTAGAGTCAGCGCAGATATTCTTAATAGTGACCTTAATAAATTTCGTAACTGGTCGAAAAGATGGTTAGTCAATTTTAACCCTTCCAAAACAGAAACCCTGCTCATTAGTAGAAAAACCATTAAACCGTTTCATCCTCCCTTAAATATGAACAATACTAACATCTCTGAAGTTACTACACACAAGCATTTAGGTATTTTTCTCTCTGGAAATGGTCATTGGAATGAATACATCAGTTATTTGATATCTAAGATTTCACCTGAAATAAATATCTTACATAAATTTAAATTCTCTTTGGACAGGTATAGTCTCCAAACTATGTACTACACTCTTATTCGACCTATATTAGACTATGGCGATATCTTATGTAACTACCTTACTAAAGCTCAATCTAAATTATTAGAAAATCTTCAATTAGAAGCAGCACGCATAGTCACTGGCGGCACTAGACTCACAAGTAGAATTAAACTGTATACTAAAACAGGTTGGCTTCCCCTCGAGGAAAGACGTAAACAGCACAAGCTTATTCTTTTACACAAAATGGTTCATTGTCTGGCTCCTCAATATCTTCTAGATATTCTACCTCAGCGTAACCGTAATTACCACAACCATGATACTCGCACGGGAAATAATTTTCGTCCACAAGTTAGTCATACGAGTCTCAATAATAAATCTTTTTTTGCCATCTGTCATCAGTATCTGGAACTCCTTGCCTGACAATGTCAAGAACGACCCTTCAATTTATAAACTTAAAACCTATCTACGCAAGCCCTCTCACAAAATTAATTTTTTCTACTTTAATGGTACCAGACTGGGGGAGATACATCATGCAATATTAAGAATGGAGTGTAGTTCCCTTAAGTTTTATCTATACCAGAGAAATCTAATTGATAGTCCTCTGTGTTCTTGCATGCAAGCAAATGAAACCAATGAACATTATCTTTTACATTGTTGTCTTTTTTCTCAACTACGTTTACATACATTCAACGAAATCAACCATCCACTCTCAACTGATTTACTTTTGTTCGGGAATAATGAGCTTACAGATGACGAAAATGCCTTAATTTTTTCATCTGTACAAAACTTCATCCATTCTAAAAGATTTGACTAAGTTCTTTTCATTATACAACGATCCTTTGTTTCACATCATCTATTTCCTCTCCTTCTATTCTTATTGGCACGGGCATCTATATCCCCCCTGTACCCCTCTTCTTTTACTCACATTTCAAATATACCTTGAACTACGTTTAAAAGTAAGCTACTGTTTTAAGTGTTTATATTTCTTTCCATAGAATTCAGTAACTATGCCATCATGCCTTAAATTAATGAGATAATTTATCGGAAACGGATTTATATAAGTTATTTCAACTTGTTTCCGGATCCCATTCCTCTGTACTTTGTATGTTATGTGATGTAATGCAACTTAATTTGGAATGAAATAAAGTTTATATTAACAGTTTGGGAGGAGATGTCATTTAATGAAAAAAGTTGGTGGATGACAGACGTTGGACGAAGAACCAAACATATAAGGTCGCCCTGGTACCTCGAACCAGGTGAGCTAACAAGCAAACACCAATTGTAAAACAAACTAATATGTTCATTATTTTTTTGACCGAAGGTGATACATCTTTGTCTAGATTCTGCAGTCTTTCTATAACCGTTACAATTTCTAACATTCTCAGCCAGAAATCTTCCTGTCGGAAACATCAAAAAGTTACATAGATGGCGCTACAATGCAGATGTTACGAGAGTCGATTCCCGGAGCAGGACGATATCGTAAAGGTATGTGTTCACGCCGTGGGAGAGATCATGGCAGACGTCCGGCTCATTGAATACGACAACATCGAGGGCATGATCCTACTGAGTGAGCTCACACGTCGACGGGTCCGCTCGGTTAACAAACTGGTGTGTGTGGGTCGTCCCGAGTACGTCCTCGTTATGAGGGTTGACCAGGAGAAAGGTACGTCGCTTCTATTGCATATTCCGCCACACCTTAAGGTAAATGGTACCAATAAGTATATATATATGTCAAATTAATGATTGTCACTTCTGTGAAATATTTGTGTAAGTCCTTTTCAAAAGTAATATTATAAAAAATCTCTTGTTGCCATGTATTTTAGCGAAATGTAGTTTGTTTGAAATTTGAATATTTGAAAAATAGTATGAACAAACCCAGGAAAACTGCACGAGTTCGTACTCGAGCATCAATATGAGTGTCGAAATTTGACAAGGACATTTTCTCCAAGTCAGAAAAAAGCTCTTGGTTGCTCTTTTTCTATATAGAAAGTATAATACTCAAAGTCCAAAAAACTCTGAAGTGTTACTCTTCTTCGCAATTATAAATGATACAGTAGGTACTCTTAACCTTAACACGTTTTTTCGATTCAATCGCTACCCACCATGCCTTTCTTTATGTACGTTTTGCCTCATATCAGATATATGCCTCCAGATTTTGCAACACCAGCTATATAGCCTCCTTTTCGTTTGATTTTTATGCTCACATGACCCCTCCAGTACAACTGGCCTTTCCACTCTGTCCTCGGTAGCAATTAAATGCTTATTTTCTGGCTTCTTACTCCATTGATCCTTTTGTCAACACACACAAAGACCCATCCTCTTAATTCCAGGGGTTACGCTCACTTTCGATTTTGTCAAAACATATTCCGAGGATGTGAAAACGTGAATCAAGAGCGAGACTCTTGGATGTGGAAGACCGAAATGGAGCTATGGTTACTACCGCGTCAGTTTCTTCTGCTTAGATCGATGTCTCTCTGGTAAAAAAGGCTTTGGCTACCTTAGTGATAGGTCAATAGGACTGATCTATCCAGAAAATCTTGATACTTGGAACAAACTCGGTAAACTGTGGAGATGGGTATGCTACGTCTACAGGAAGGCACAGTGTAGTTAAACACATTTTCTTACCTAGAGTACCATTTTCTTTTCTTGGCTTTTTCATTTGATACATTGGACTGCGGTTTTGTTTTCTGAGTATAACTTGCACAGTCGCGAATTCATATCCTTCGATGTGTCTTCATTTAGACTCATTTTTTCCTGAAGAAACTCATCACTTCATAACCTCCTTTCATTGGTTTTACCTATTTCTAAAAGGGATGAGATGTTTTTTATTGAACATTTACGTCTTAATTGTATGTAATTATATATAATTATTTTGTGTTTAATGGATGTGTTCTTTTGTCACAGGCTATATAGACTTGTCAAAAAGGCGAGTGTCAAAGGAGGAGGCAGACGAATGTGAGGGGAAATATTCCAAGGCCAAAGCTGTGAGTCAAAAATAGACATTATGAAAATTTAACATTTATTATGCTATATACACTGTCTTACTTCACCTTCCTCGTGAAACCGTTGTATAACGACGAATGATTAATATTCAACACATTTAACACCACATTTTACATAAATACAACAACCTAAAGCTTAGGGTAAAGGGTATCAACAAGTCCAACTATATTATTATCTGTAATATTGTTACTATTGCGATTTTCGTTCGTTTAAGAAAGTATTCCATAAGAATCCATGCCATTTTACAGAAGTATAGGTGTTCGAAATTTGAAAACAAAAATAAAAGAAGAAGCAGGAAATCTGCAACGGTCGACCTCAGGACTTATACATTACGAAACCTACACTACTTTACCAATGCTACAATTCGGGAATAAAGAATTCACTGCGTCAAAATGAATCTCAAATTTATTGGCAAAAAATGTTGGATTGTCAATGTCTGTTTATTTTACGTGTTATATTACTTTATTTTATATTATTTTGGTTTATATTTTGTTGTTTTATTGTTTTATGTTACATTGTACGTTTTTATGATATGTTGGATATGTTATGCTGTTTTATGTTATGTTGGATATGTTATGCTGTTTTATGTTATGTTGAATGTGTTATGCTGTTTTATGTTATGTTGGATGTGTTATGCTTTTTTATGTTATGTTGGATGTGTTATGTTGGATATACTATGCTGTTTTATGTTATGTTGGATGTGTTATGTTGGATGTGTAATGCTGTTTTATGTTATGTTGGATGTGTTATGTTGGATGTGTTATGTTGGATATACTATGCTGTTTTATGTTATGAAATGCTATGTTGGGTTGTGTTTCTCTTGATCTAAGACAGTAAAAATATGTTACACACAAGCTGAAGTTTGATTGTTGATGACAATCGTAAAACCTCTTTAGCATGGATTAAACCATCGCCCTTAGGACATCGTATGTAAGCTATGCTTTTATTGGAACACGCATTCAATATCTTCATTTATTGTCTATGATAGGTCAACAGTTTTCTGTGTCATGTGGCGTCTCTCCTTGCGTACGACACAGATCAACAACTGGAGGAGCTCTACTCACGTACAGCTTGGTACTTTGACAAAAAGTACCAGAAACAAGGAGCATCGTATGATGCATTCAAGTGTTCAGTGAGGTAAGTTGAAAAAATATCATGTTTGTATTCAACCGAATGCGAAACCTTGCAAAATCTTGAAAGACGTCTTACAAAACCTAGTGATGACCAATGCAGACCTATGAAGTTTTATCAAGGTATTAAGACGATTATTATAATCGTCAGTTGTTTGATCATTGTGCTTTCCATATATTTATACGGTTATCCATAAAAAAGATTTTTTTTTCTATGAACCATGCTCCACACATAAAAAGATTTTTGTTTAAACCTACAGCCAGCCCGAGTTGTTTGACGGGTGTAACCTGGATACCGATACGAGAGACGTATTACTAGCTAGCATCAGACAGAAATTATCGCCCAAAATAGTCAAAGTCAGAGCAGGTAGGTAACCGAAGTAGGGATATGTAGATAATAATTATGTTTTTTTATATTCCTTTGGTAGGAAATATTAGAATGTATAGACATAGACACCTGTAATCAAACTATCGCGATGAAAAATGATGGAATACAAAACCTGTGTTTCACACACTTACGGTGTGCAGTTATTTAGAAGAAACATGATAAGCTATAATGTATATATTTGTTTTACCACAGACACTTGAGTTTAGACATTAGAACAATAATCAGATAACAAAAAATGGTCCTTTGATAAAAACAAATTTCATTTATTTATTTATTTAGGTCTCTATTTATGTTTTCCTGAAGGCTCAATAGATAATAAAAGGACTTGTCGGGAACCTGATCGGCCTGGATATTTATTTCCATATTACGTCATACAATCTATTGTTTTATCGTAATTAAGGCATTTTTGTTCGACATAATAATATTGCGTTTTTATGACACTAAGACAACGTGACGATAGTTAGACATAACTTTTTTTTTCGCGAATGTTTCCATACATTCTTAGTTTTTCGATAAGAAGAATATATAATTGGTTTCTGTTTATATGAAATTTCTTAGACGCATCTTAAATTATTAAGCTGGGCGGAGCATGCAAACATCTTTCTTTACACTTTAGCTCAGAAACCTCATATAAATGGATCTTTTCATCACATTATCAAGAATGTATGCGAATACCCCACATTGAATAACTGGGTAAAATGAACCGATACAGTGTACGCTTGCTGTCGTTATATAGATATAGAGGTAGCATGTACAGGCTACGAAGGGGTTGATGCTGTAAGGAGGGCGTTGAAGAAGGGACTGGAGCTGACAACAGGAGAAAGTCCTGTAAAGGTAACTCAGCCGTAAGATGTGTGTCCGAAATGTCCTTTTTAAGTTGATTTTTTTTCAATAAAAGAGCAAAATCAGAATCAGAAAATAGAATTTTCGGGTTCGACGTTTTCCTTCGTCTCATAACAAGTTCTGGTTTAACAAGCCCCTAAAAGATGCTATAATCACCCGAAATTCCAATCCCTGATCAGTCTTATTCAAAGAACCCAATTCATTTCAAAGTATTCAGTTGGGTTGCAAAAGAGTTTGACATGTTATATGTCCAATGAACCTTAATGCCCTAATATAAGTATATTAACTATGTTAAACCCGCCATGTACCTTTTTATAGCTTATGTACAAGTTCAATATCATATATAAGTTAGAATTTTTAGTTGGGGTCTTTGAATATCAGTGGGTTGATATTTAAGGTGACTATACTATTTTTCAGTGGGCTTGTTGAACCTTAACCCTGTATAACTTAAACGTTCTTCACTGGAGTCACTGCTTTACCTAAGATTGATATATTGAGTAATATATCACTGTGGTTTATTTTCTGACTCATTTCAACACGAGGTATCTATACACTATAGATCGACACAGGTCCTGTTCTGATCCTTCTAATCGACAGTGAGTTGAAGGCGTTGTCACCATGTTATTATTTCGTCTTCGACGCCGTGTGTCGATGAATGTATCATTTACCAGATAAACATGATTTCCATCTTTTCGAATATTTACTTTATGTTAATGGCCAGATTTATTTACCAGATACATCTGATTTCCCCACCGGTGTTTGTGGTATCCACCAGCACAGTGGACTGGCAGGCCGGGATATCGAAAGTGACCGCTGTACTGGACGTGATCAAGGCTAGTATCACAGAGGAAGGTGGCCTGTATCACACAGATCGACAGGTACGCTTTAATTTAACATGCATACTATTCAAGTTCTATTAAGGTTATACTCCTCTCTCAACTTTACCTATGTTAGACACATATATTCCATGTACTGTAGTAACACACAATTATTGTTGCATCCTCAATATCAACATGTTAACTTTTACAATTTTCATCAGAACTCCGCGAAAAACAAGTCAATGAATATGTAGGTATGATGGTGTGCCAGTGTAAACAGAAATATTCATAATTCATCTCTGATCCAGTTGTCTCACTACTCAGTCACGTTAACCCAGCCATCCCTGATCTAGTTGTGTCACTACTCAGCCTCGTTAACCAAGCCGTCACCGATCTAGTTGTCTCACTACTGAGCCTCGTTAACCAAGCCATCACTGATCTAGTTGTCTCACTACTCAGCCTCGTTAACCCAGTCATCACTGATCTAGTTGTCTCACTACTAATTCAGGTTAACCAAGCCATCACTAATCTAGTTGTTTCACTACTCAGTCACGTTAACCCAGCCATCACTGATCTAGTTGTCTCACTACTCAGTCAGGTTAACCCAGTCGTCACTGATCTAGTTGTCTCACTACTCAGCCTCGTTAACCAAGCCTTCACTGATCTAGTTGTCTCACTACTCAGCCTCGTTAACCCAGCCATCACTGATCTACTTGTCTCACTACTCAGCCTCGTTAACCCAGCCATCACTGATCTAGTTGTTTCACTACTCAGTCACGTTAACCCAGCCATCACTGATCTAGTTGTCTCATTACTCAGTCTGGTTAACCAAGCCATCACTGATCTAGTTGTCTCACTACTCAGCCTCGTTAACCAAGCCTTCACTGATCTAGTTGTCTAACTACTCAGCCTCGTTAACCCAGCCATCACTGATCTAATTGTTTCATTACTCAGCCTCGTTAACCCAGCCATCACTGGTCCAGTTGTCTCACTACTCTGCATCGTTAACCCAGCCGTCACTGATCCAGTTGTCTCACTACCCAGTCTCGTTAACCCAGCCGTCACTGATCTAGTTGTCTCACTACTCAGCCTCGTTAACCTAGCCATCACTGGTCTAGTTGTCTCACTACTCTGCATCGTTAACCCAGCCGTCACTGATCTAGTTGTCTCACTACCCAGTCTCGTCAACCCAGCCGTCACTGATCTAGTTGTCTCACTACTCAGCCTCGTTCACCCAGCCGTCACTGATCTAGTTGTCTCACTACTCTGCATCGTTAACCCAGCCGTCACTTGTCCAGTTGTCTCACTACTCTGCATTTTTAACCCAGCCATCACTGATCTAGTTGTCTCACTACTCTGCATCGTTTACCTAGCCATCACTGATCTAGTTGTCTCACTACTCAACCTCGTTAACCCAGGCATCACTGATCTAGTTGTCTCACTACTCAACCTCGTTAACCCAGCCATCACTGATCTAGTTGTCTCACTACCCAGTCTCGTTAACCCAGGCATCACTGATCTAGTTGTCTCACTACTCAGCCTCGTTAACCCAGCCGTCACCGATCTAGTTGTCTGACTACTCAGCCTCGTTAACCCAGCCATCACTGATCCAGTTGTCTCACTACTCAGTCAGGTTAACCAAACCGTCACCGATCCAGTTGTCTCACTTCTCAGCCTTGTTAAAGGATTTTGGCCACAATTTTTCATAACTTTATATTATACGGTCATTGGATGCAATAATACGTGTAGTGACCCGAGACCCCGTCCGTTTCGGTAGTCAGATGATAGACAGGCCAGGTGACGCCCCATCTATATCAGTATATTTTGAACTCGGTACGAGGTCACGTGATCTGTGACGTCACAGTGGCACGACTTATACGATATACTGTTCATTACGTGTACCCATTCTGACACGCATATTTATACATTATCTGCAAACCAGTGTAAGTAATGACAGCAACCAATATAATAATTATGTTGTATGGGTAAAATAATCAATCGACAAATAAAGACATCAATTCTCCGAAAGAGAAGTTATACATTCAAGTCTGAATCACGGAAATCTAATTCTGTGCCTGCATCTTTTAGCTAAAAGATAGTTATACCACGGACTTAGATAACTCTAATGTAATTCCGTGGTTATACACAGTTTACACACCTAAACATTTTGTTTGTGAAGTAACAGGTTTGTTAATTACCTTAGTTCTTACCACTTGATGTAGCCAAAGGGCATTTACGATACCTACCCGTGAATAAACAGGTGAACTAATTGAAGTGAAAGAAAAACAATCATGAATTGGGGAAGGGCCATTTAAATCATGAAGTGGGAAGGGCCATTTTCATTTTTTGTATCCCGTTTTCAGCCGGCATCTAAAGCAACATTTCAACGAAATAAATATTTTAAACTATCATATTATTCACATTTAATCGTGACAGTGACAGTTTGATTGACACTAGACATACATTGGTTGTTCACGTATACACGTGGGTATACACAATACAATTAAACTATGCCTGTTCTTTTACTTTTCAAGTGATCTACATTCGCGATTATGAGAAAACTTTCACTTTTAAACGTTAATACATTAATGCGGATATGTAACGTTAAATGGGGAATTAAGTATACATGTACACATATAGGAGGAATACATGCGATTTATCAGCAGATTTCAGAACATTACAGTAGATTACATTGCAAATATATGACTCTAAAAAGTCACATAATTAAACTGGCTCTTAAGTCATATTATTTTGTTTTAAATCAAGTAATATAAGGCGTTTTCATTCTGTGTAGCCGCTGTGATCTATTCATATCTTACGTCTTACATCCCTGCCATATAAGAATCTTCCTCCGATGTAAATTTTTACGTAAATAGTAATTTTCTTCGTCCTGTCTTCAACCTAAATTGGTAGAGAATTGTATTTAGTATGTAGTTAATGCCAAGAATCACACTGTCAGAAGTGTCCAATGAAACAAATCAGAAATATATAGGAGGAGTGTAGCTCCGGACCAGTGACACAAACGTGCCCCTCTGACGTCAGAAGTACCACGTGACCTGTAAGCTTATTAAAATTATCGCCAGTAATAAGGAGCGGTCACCATTAATTGCCTTTATCTAGATAACGAGACACGTCTGAAGGCGCGTTGATGGATGATTTGGTATTCATTTAAGAATATTACAGTTTTCGCTTATTTTTACAAAATGTAAAAAAAATCATGGCCCAATTCCTTTAACTAAGCCCTCACATATCAGTTGTCTCATTATTCAACCTCGTTAACCCAGATTTTACTGATCTAGTTGTCTCATTATTCAGCCTCGTTATCCCAGCTTTTACTGATCTAGTAATCTCACTATTCACCCTCGTTATCCCAGCTTTTACTGATCTCACTATTCAGCATTGTTAACCCACCTTTTACTGATCTAGTTATCTCACTATTCAGCCTCGTTATCCCAGCTTTTACTGATCTAGTTATCTCACTATTCAGCCTCGTTATCCCAGATTTTACTGAGCTAGTTATCTCACTATTCAGCATTGTTAACCCACCTTTTGCTGATCTAGTTATCTCACTATTCAGCGTCGTTATCCCCGCTTTTACTGATCTAGTTATCTCACTATTCAGCCTCGTTATCCCCGCTTTTACTGATCTAGTTATCTCACTATTCAGCATTGATGACCCAGATTTTACTGATCTAGTTATTTCACTATTCAGCCTCGTTAACCAAGCCATTACTGATCCAGTTCTCTCACATTTGTGTTGGTATTTTAGAAAACAATTGGCTCTTTTTAGTATATAAATGTTCTGGTATTCCAGTCGTCTCACAATCCATACGTATGCTGACAAAGGGATTGGATATATTATGTCGTACATTCTAAAGCTAACGCAACACGTCTACGGATTTGAATCTTTTCAATGATCTTCGGGATTGATATTCATTTATCGATGATCCACGGTGTATCTAAGGATAAATCAAATATATATATAATAGTTTTGTTACTCTTAGTTATAACCATCACAAAACATCTTGCAAAAACGTTACATCAATTTTTTTTTATTCTGATCAGGGTGCTTACATCATATATATTTTTCCTTTCCTATAAACCTTATCTAAGGATATAGAACACGATGCGTGTCAACCATACATGTGATTTGATTTGAGTTTCTGTTCTCAGCCAAGTGTCATCAATGACACAGATGAAATTTATTTAGCGCGGCGATTACAGGAGCTGGAAGTGGAGAATCGAGAGATTAGCGGTGACGAAAACAGTGATGCTTACAGTGACGACACAAACGATGACATAGAGTCGTGTACCGAACATGACAGGACTGTCATTATAGGATGACTGTTGATACCACTTTGCTATAACCAAGAAGATCATAACTTTTATTCCGTTAATATAAGTTTTTAATAGAATTATGTTTTTATTTTGTTTTTTAGCTTGATAGTGCCTTTTGGCATGAGAAAGTTTCCGTTTTTCATAGTTTCCCTGTTACCATGGAAACAAATATAAAGACATGCAAAAGTTATCGTTTCCGGAGCATATCTCAAGAAACGCTTAATGTAACTTCACAAAACTTTCCAGTTGTCTAAAAGTGCCTTTTACCATAATGGTATTTTCTTTTGCGATATTTTCCTGTTACTATAGAAACGTATGGCAAAACATGCAAATTATCGTTTCTAGAGTATATTCAAGAACAGTACAAAATCACCTCATGACACTTACATTCAAATCTGAAAATATAGTTGTACCTTAGGTTTTCCGTGATATTTCCTTTTTTATATTTTCCTGTTATCACATAAATAAATAGTCAGAATACAAAAATCGATTCTTGCACATATTTCCAGAACAATAAAGGATAACTTCATAGAACTTGATATGCACTTTAATCATGTAATGTTTTTACAAATGTTGTCGCATTATTCTACCCCTCCACATCATTCCTTTTAAATCTCTCTCGTCGAGGGATCTTAATGACATTGCCCTTGTTTTGTTTTAAACCTTGTTATCCACTAAAATAGCATGGCATATCATTGGGAAGAATCGAGAACAAACTTAATCTTATATTATCATATACTATAATATTATTCCTTTGGCTGGGGTCGATAAATCCAGGTATCGACCGAAGTCAAAGGCTACAATAGTTTTATTATTTTCAAAACAGTAATGTTAGCAATCTGAAAAATAAATCACCGCAAAATCTACGGAAGCGGGACGATGCGTTTGTATGGAGTCACGTCATAATTCTATTTTTAGAAACACCCAGTCCTTTAACAAAAATCACGCGCTCCAAGTCAATATCGGTTTTTATCGGTGGACACGTGATGCGTTCACGAAGCAATATTAAGGGTAACTTCCCAAATAACAATGGATCCATGCAAACGTTTGTTTGTAGGATACGAATGACTTATGGCAAGGAAGTAATTCTTACAGTGTTTATAGTATACACCGTTAGAATTACTTCCTTGCCCCATATATATGTATACACATTAATTCGTCTACTCATGGCTACTGTAGACTCTACACACATATCTCAATAAAAATTACAGTAGACACTAGGCATATATCTGAATACAGTTACATTAGCCGCTAGATATTAATCTATTGTTATATATTGCTTTGGATGTTATTTTCATAACACGATATTATAGTTCTATTACTTCTGTATAAAGATGTAATCTGAAGAAGGTTTACTTTAGCTGTTTACTCCTACCACGATATTGTGGTATTTTTATTGAATTTTGATAAGATATAAGGGCGACGTAGAGGGAGAAAATATGGAAATTAAGCAGGCTTACGGTGTTTTATATTTGCAATATGACCGATACCAGTTGGAAAGGTACTGTTGGGAACTCATCTCTGTTTACAGAACTCGTTCAGACTTGCTTATAATGTAAACTTCAACTTCAGAACGGCGTCTGAACTATTATTGAAAAAAACCCAGCGCAACGCAATTATCATATATCCGATTTATTTTAAAAATACTTGTTTGCACAGCATACGTTCATCACATTTGAAATATGTTTGTAAAGCAATATATATATATACATATAAGGCCACTGACGTACGGTAGTGTTACAGAAAATTAATGCCATGGGGCATGACCAAACATATTTATTCCTGATAACCTCAGGCTGTACAGAATGAATTTTGTAAATGTGTACATTTAAAATGACGTTCTTGGTTGTTCTTACTTGAAGTGTAGTTAATTTACGACTAATAATTTAGAACGATTTAAAATTAATCTTCTGCATATGATAACATTCTCATACTTTATCAAATTTTGGAAGGTAAGAATTGGATTCTATTGCTTTTATATAGTTGATATCTTCAACAATATTAACTTGAGGATACCAAAAAGTATAAGTTGTTCGCTAACTCTATAAAAGAATCAGAAAAAATATAATTCGAAATGCTAAGGTGCAATAAAATATATATCTTATCAAACATCTGAACATGAAATTGTGTTCCATTGATATTTCAATGGTGTCAGTTATGTTTTCATTAACTGAGACATATAATGAGGTTGTACGGTTTTGGATCCCCGCCTGTTTAAGCATTCAAGTACACATGACCCAACTATATGGGCTCTATTTATTGACGTATGCGCTGCTGGTATAAAAAAAATCACTTATAACAAAGACTTATTTTACAAAAGTTTTCAAATCTGACTGGACCCTTTGTCAAGCTATGACTGAAGGAGCAAATTGTATTGTTTATCTGTACATCGAAGTGAAATGGTATATTTCATATGTCACTCGATCCGGGACGTTTCGCCTATCTAAAGAGTGTGTGCACACTGTATCAAATAAGTTACTTGTAGGATGCAGTTCTGCCCCTCTCCCGTTAGGTCAATAGTGATCATAAAAATGACTCAGCTAGTGTCCCCTCTCGTCTCTGTTCATGTTTTGAGTGGATTCAGATAAATAGGCAAAAGTAAGACGAAACAATGAAATAATAATACAAAAGGTGATGTTGAAAAGTTAAAACACGCGTACAATTAAATTCATATACATTTGTACATGTATAAAACACTTATTAATTGCAAACAGGATGAACCACAAATTTAAAAACACGTATTTACAGGAAAACCTTGAATATATTCAAAATTTTATTTGCACCATTGTAACTACAAAGTAGTTTGAAGGCAAAATAGAAAAACACAGTGAAATACATGTAGAAAAGTCGCAAAGTGATTGCTTATATTTCTTATATACATTAACATGAACAAAATTAACTTAGCTTCAAATAGAAAATTTGATTTAAACATTTTTAGCTGCAACGTCTGTTTAATGAATAAGCAATAGTCCAGTATAAATAACTTATATAAGATATCTCATTTAATTTCTATATGAGATATCTCATATAGGATATAAGATATCTCATATAGTATATAAGATATATCTTATATCGCACATAAGATATCTCATTTAATTTTCTATATAAGATATCTCATATAATATATACGATATATCATATAGCTATATAAGATATCTTATATAATTGAAATTTCGTTGCTTTATAAGATAACTGATATAGAATGAGATTTCGTGGCATTAAAAACCAGAAACTAATTTCTCCCTCGAGAATCATTCGGAGCACATTCAGGATTGCATTGGGCGCAATGGCGGAGAGGGATGGTACGGGTGCTGTATTTTCCCTAGGCCTAGCTCGCCTTGTCTCTCTTATAGCGGCCAAAGCAGAGGCTGCTATTTCCCGCACTCTTGAAGTGGGCTCAGACATAATGGCGGTGACAGGAACACGTGTTGTTACAACAAGCCTACTGTCCCGAGATATTCCGGACGGGGAGACTTCATTTTCGACATTTTGTTAAAATCTCGTTCCTATATAAGATATCTTATTTAGTAACGAGACTTTAATTATCTTATATAGCTATATGATATATCTTATATATTATATAAGATATCTTATATAGAAAATTAAATGAGATATCTTATATACGATATAAGATAGCTTATATAGTATATAAGATATCTCATATAGGATATAAGATATCTTATATAGCATCTCATTTAATTTCTATATAGGATATCGCATATAGTATATAAGATATCTCATATACTATATAAGATATCTCATATGCTATATAAGATATCTTATATAGTATATAAGATATCTCATATGCTATATAAGATATTTTATATAATTCGATGAAATACAGGATCGACATTGCCCCTTGAATAAATGTTAAGTTGGCTTGCCATAGAAATAATCAAACTGCTTATTGCTATTTGCTGATCTGATTTTTCTGCTTAACATATTTTAGTATAAATCCATGTACCATACTTCTGCATTATAAGTCAGGACAGGTTTTACAAGGGATTGAAAGAGTTTACACTGGGCATCTACTGGAAAGTTTGTGATATTTTCTGCATTTTTTTTATTGCAAAAAGAACGTTAATACCTTTGTTGGACAATTCCTTTACAGACGGTGTACATTTACCTGCTGTATTTACCAGGTTACCAATATATAACTACTCTTTAGTCATGTCTATATTATCGTTACCAATATTAAATTTGTAGTTTTTAATAACACGGTTTGTTGAATTGAATATCATTGCTTTTGTTTTCTGAGTATTTATTGAAAGTTTCCATCTATTGCAATATGTATATAAGTCATTTAATGATTTTTGTAATCCCTCGGCTGTTTCAGACAATATTACCAGATCATCTGCGAACATAAGGCAACCTAGTTCCGAGTCAACAAGCTTTAAAGGATCATTTTTTTTAATAAATTAGGAAGATCATTTACATACAAATTGAACAGAGAGGGGCTCATACTATCCCCCTGCTTGAGTCCTCTAAAACTATCAAAGTAAACGGAGAAGAACGAATAATTTTTTTAAGGCAGATGTACATATTACTAATGACTTGAAAGCGTTTGCTGCCGATACCATATCTAGCTAACTTATAGAGCAAACATTTCTCCATTGTTAAAATCAACAAAAAAGGCAAATACTTTTTTCTTTTTCCACAAACATATTTGGTAGTGAGAGATTTAAGTACAAATAAGCTATCTGTGGTTCTTTGCTTTTTCCTGAAACCAAATTGAAGGTCGGATAATTTACCTGCCATAAATTCAGTGAGTCTTTTGTTTAAAATAGAATTAAACAATTTACTGAGACAACTAATACGGGATATACCTCTATAATTAGTTGGCATGCTTTTATCTCCAGCTTTAAATATAGGAACCAAGTGTGATCTGACCCACCTTTCTGGATAGTAACCACAATTTAAAATGATATTGAATAGTTTTGATAGAATATTCAGCATAACTGGAGAAGAGTGCTTTATGACCTCGTTTGTTATATTATCTGGGCCAC